ATCAGTTACCTCACCTTACCCGGTGGTACCCAGTAGAGCCTGGTCTCTGGGCCAACATACCTTGGCCTCGAGTAGCTTGTTTGGATAATACAATAAGATGGAAGGTAATTCGGAGTCGTATGTCTTCATCATTGCGTGGTCTAAAGCCTTCTCAGGCCATTCCTGGGACGGGAAAGGTCACATGACACTGATTACGTAATAGCGTTCGTTGCTACCATTCTCCGTCAGCCCTCGGTAGCGTTCAGCTATTTCGCCCCTTATATCGTCGGTGCTGAGGGTCTAAGAGCTATCAGATACTAACGATGTCCAAGGCGGTGTCATCTACTTGTTCCTGAGGGTACGTCGCGCCTCGGCTTCCTGCCAGTTTCATATATATGTATATATGTATATGTATATATATATGCATCGAGGACATGTGCTGTTCCGCGCCGCTCTCACCGAGTTCAAGCCGTCCGCCGCGAAAGACGTCAGCTGTATCCTCGAGCTGGCGGACCGCAACTGGCGTGCTGGATCATCCGTAGAGCTTGTCCTCACCACCTACCCAAGTCTGCATATCGCTTTCTCTCGTATCGGCTTGAATGTGCTTGGAGTCAAGAATGGGACAACTTTTTCGATAAGACGGGCTTCGACCCTGTCAGCTGCTCAGTCAAGGTCTATGTGCATGTCATTTACAGCGCCATCAGAGCTGCGAGCACCTGATATGCATGCTCTGGCCTCGCCCTGCACTCCTTGCTTTCACTGCTACCGGGCCGCCATGTCCTTCAAATAATCTTCGCATTTTCACATCTTAGGAGCACCATCCCCGTGCTCCTCGCGTCCTATGCACCCCCATAACGCCTAATTTGCACTCAATTCGCCTCACCGCGCTCTTCTCCTGCTTTGTTTGCGATGACAGCGGCGCGCTTCCCGCTTCCTGGATGCAAAGTGGGCGCGGAGAGGGCGAGATGGTGCACGGAGATACTAGGGAGGTGGGAGGCTCAAGAGATTCTACGGCACTTTACCACATCGTGCTCCTCACCAGCGCAGCCCTTGGCACTCTTTGTGCTCCATGTTCTCTGCGCCGCCGCGCTGCTCTCTGCACCCGTGCCGCGCACTATTCTGCCTTCCCGGTGTCAAACATCCCTTTCTCACGCCCTCGTCCGGTTGGACGCGCCGTCTACAAGTGCAGACGGCGATAATTCTCGAGCCGGAGTCTTGCCCCCCACCCCGCCCTCTCCGCAGTGAAGTTGTTCGAGTACATCGAGCATAAGGGTGCTTTTTTCTTCGGCAAACGGCAGGTGTGTGGCGACGGTATCTTACGCCTTTCTTCTAAATTCAGTGGCTGTAGGAACGCCTTGGCCCGTTCCGGATGATCTCGTGCTCAGTGTTCGCCGTAGCGCGTCTCTAGTGCATACAAGGGGCGAAGTCTATCTCGTATGATCAATCTCTCGGAGTCCTCGCTTCCGTTGCCGCTGCCGTGAGTGGCACTGGAATAATTAATCCCCGTCAAGTACACGGTTGGCACAATGCACAGGTATAATATGCTTATAATCTCTCTAGCGAGACCTGTGGAAATGCACGGAAGGCTACGGCCGGAGATGCCGAGGACCTGAGCTGCAACGACTGGTGGTCTGGTATGATCTTTCTCACTCTTCTATTGACTGAACCATGTTGATGCCGTTTCTACAGCGCGGGCTGCATATTCCGTCGAGTATCCCAAAGTTTTTTTCTGCCATAAAGCGGGACCGCATCATTGCTGCCTCCAAGGCCGCTGCCCTGCATCTCTGGTCTCCGTGTATTGTAGGCTTTTATGAAGCTGTTCGTTGTGACAAATAACACGGCTAGTCTACGCATATGGCCTTGATATCTTCTTCTTCCTCTGCACATGTCAAATAAACGGGGCTAGGAGGCGATACCCCGAATCTCTTTCTCTCTCCCCTACCCGGCCCTCCGACTTGGAAACGCCGGTACTTCCAATCCCACCCCGCAGCTTTCCTCTCGTCGATCTCCCTCTCCATCCCCACGCGGTGGTATAACTCATGTCCATGCTTCTCTAAGAGCATGAGGGTCAGCTCGTACAATCCCTCTGGTTTAGCAGACGTAGCAGGATCCCACGCTTGTAGCTTCCACGTAACCGGATTACGATAGAAGTTCTTGAATCGGCCGACGACGACCGCCCACGTTTCGCGATCATCGTACGCCTTCCACCCAAGAGGAGATCTCTGCTCGTCCTCGTAGACCAGCAGAGCGGCCTTGCTCCAGAAAATGAAATAGCCAGAGTCTGTCATCTCCCCTCTTGGGGCGCCGTCGGTACGCCAGATGTTGTTATCTCGCGCCCCGATAGCCTCAAATGCGAGCACCCGGCCCTTTGTCGTATGAATGTACGCGCGCCCCGCTTTCGCTTGTTCCTGG